GATCATTGCAAAACAAAACAAAACAAAAATATAATACTATTTTTGTTGGAATCCCACCAGATTTATAAATTACCTCAGGGAGGACTGACATCTTGATGATATTATCTTTTTCTTTTAGCATGCCTTTCCATTTGTCCAAATCTACCCTTGTGTCTTTCAGGAGTGCTTTATATTTTTTCTCATAAAGGTTTGGTCATTTTTTTATTAAGTTTATGCCCTGGCATTTGATTTATTTATTTAGTTAATTTAGTTCTACATTTATTTGTTATTGTCAATTGTGCATTTTCTTCCATTTTATGTTCTGTCTAGTTTTTGTTTATGTATATATGAAGGCCATTGATTTGTGTTATTGATATTGTAACTTTCTGGTTTGCCAAATTCTCTTTATTATTTTCGTAGTTTTCTCATTAGTTGTTTTAAGATTTAAGATGTATAATCTTATCATCCGAAAACAGTTTCACTTCTTCTTTTCTAAGTATTGTGCTTATAATTTCTTTCTTCTGTTTAATTGCATTGGCACATATCTTCAACGTAACATTAAAAACCAATGGAGAGAGTGGGTATTCTTGACTTCTTCCAGACTGTAATGAGAAAACCCCTAGTGTTTGCTCACTAAATTAGATGTTGGCTTTGGGCTAGTATACAGAGAGGGTATTTTGAAAACAAAAATGAAGAAGCCACAGTTCTTGTTATCAGGGGACTTACAGACTTGTGGAAGGAGACAGATAAGGAAACAGCCTATTTTAATGGTATGACAACATCTGCTATAGGAATATGAACAGATTCACTTAGAAACACATTAGGAAAGGTGTTTACCTCAGTCTTGAAAATCAGACAATAATGCTTCTTAGTGGAGCTTATATCTCAGTTGAGATCTTCATATGATCAGGAGTTAATCAAATAAAGATGGAGGGAAGAGAATTTTACCCAAAAGGAATAGCATGGACAAAGTATGGAGTTAAAGGGAACAGAACTCTATTTGTGGAAGATAATTTCAGTTTAGTGAAAGGTGGGGATGAGAGAGAAATAGAGAACAGACAGAGCTGAGGTAGAATGGTAAGTCATACAGTTTGAATTTTATACTAGGGCAAAGGGAATTTAACAATAATTTTTATGTGCTTTAAGCAGAGGCAACACTTTTTCAGTGGTTTTGAAGTTCCCCCTAACAGAGGTAGCATATATATCCCTGCTCCATTAATGGTGTTACGCTTTGCTACGTAGTTTGCTTTGACTTATGGGATGTTAGTTGACATGACACGAGGAAAGACTTAAAATGTACTTGTGTGGTTGAATTTGTCCTCTTGAATAGTTCCCATCACCATGAGAAGAACATACTTTGAGGAGCTCACTGGATTTGGAACAATAAGAAAAACACAGAGCACACCTGAACCAAATCCACAGTTTGGAGCCAAGCCCAGACAAGCCCAACTGAGAGAAATAAAAGCTGCCTTAGTTCACATCTGTAGACGTACCCATAAATGATTATTATTATAAACCACTGAGCAGTGGGGTGATTGATTACTCAGAAGTATTTATTACAATAGCTGACCAATACAAAAAAGGAAGTTGAAAGACAGGAAAATCAGTTGGAAGATAATTAAAATCTCTCTGGCAAGACAGAATGGTGGTCTGACTAGAGTGATGACAGAGGAAACAAAAGGAAGAGGACATTTTGAGAGACACGAAGGAGGCAATTGGTTGGATATCAGAGTCAGAGAGGGAGAGGAGGAAAGAATGCCCGAGTTTCTTGCTGGTGTAACTGGGAGAGTGGTGGGACCATTCTGTGAGGCACAGAACATAGGAAGAAGAGCAGGAGCAAAGGTTCTGGCTTGGGCATGCTGAATCAGAGCTACAAACACACAGCCAAGTGGAAATGTCCTATAAAATTATGAGGATAACATCATGTGCCTCTACCTACCTCACAGGGCTGTTGTGAAGAAAGAACAAAACAGAACCTGTAAAGGAGCTTTGAAAAGAATACCCTCCCAATCAACTGTGATGATTATTAAAATGAAAGCACTAACACTTTCATTTTCATGCTGCCAGATGCAAAAAACACTCTAATTTTATTTTTGAAACTGTGCTACTGAGCTTGTTGCTAGTCACACATTGTTTTTTATTCTTCTGAGAGAAGGCAGAACTAATGCTTCTGAGAAACAATATAAACAATATATATTTTTTTCAAAAACTTACCCATAAGGAGTGGAATTTGGAGGCAAAAAGATCCTTGGGCTAGCTGTCAGAAGAGCCAGGCTCTTTTCTTGTAAGACCTTGGACAAACCATTTCAGCTCTCTGGGCCTCTCTTTGTGAAGGGAAGGTTTGTACTTATTGATTTCTAAGGTATCTTACTATTCTCATGTACATAAAATGGATTCTCTTAACATTTTCAGCTTTCCTTCCCTCCTACCAACAATACTCTTCAAACTTACTCTGTAATTTGGGAAAGAGTTTCATACTTGCCCATCCTCACCCATGTTAGCTCAGTCTATATCAGCAACTTCTCTTTTGGAGCCAATTCAGCCAGTCCAGATTGCTTGTTACATCCCAGGCAGGAAAGCTTATTTTCATCTATGTGTGAGTGATAAGGATCTAGAAGGAGTTCTGATTGGTGTGCTTCTGTAATTGCGGCAGGATTCCACTTACCACTTAGTCAAGGTGGTAATGAGGGTCTCTGTACCAGGAAACTGTGTCTGCCATCTGGCAGGCCAGCACCACATGCCCGCCCAGCAGACAGAACCAATTAGTCGGTCCCCACACCTCCCACAAGGCCTGCCTATGTTTGGTGGCTGTGTGTTATCCCTGCTGAGCCTCCCCCCAGAAACCCTGTTGAGTCCTGGGAGGGGAGGGGAAAATCATCTCCCTCTGGGACCAGAGAGCTGGCAAATAATCCAGATCATGGAAGTTCAAGAATAGTTTACCCAGTGAGCAGTCTACCCATGATAATGGCAAATGCAAAGACCATGGCAGGAATGGGCAGCTTGATGTGTTAGGAGGAGTGTCAAGAAACAGACTTCCATGTATAAGAGAAAAACTAGAAATGGCTTAAATGCCCATAAAGGATTTGTTAAATGAACCATGTTATGTCTGTATAAACAAATGGATAGAGTTTGGTGATTAAGGACCTAGAACCTAGGCTTGAATTGTGGCTCTGCGACTTCTCGGCTTTATGACTTTGGAAGGGCATTTGACCTCTCTGTTTCTCAGTTTCCTCATCCATGAACTGAAGATAATAAAAGTTCCTACCTTATAGGGTGCTTGGGAATAGTAAATTAGTTAATATGAGCAACGAGCTCAGAATAGTGCCTGGCACATAGTAAACGCTATCTAAGTGTTAGTTCTGAGTGTGGCTCACATGCAGCCATTAAAGATGATGTGTAGGATGAATGTTTTTCATGCCAAGGGGAGAATTCTTGATGTGAAGTGAATCAAGTGGGATAACAGAGAGTATGGACATAATGATTCTCATTATATATCTGTGCATGGAGGAACGAAGGGGACAAAAGGGAAAGAAAACCACTAGTTTTCTTTGGTTGAACTTTGTTTTCTTATTTATATTCTCCTGTTTTTCCAAAATATTTACATGATTATGTAATATCTTAGAAAGACCAATAAAAATGTAAGTAAAGGGGAAAAGAGAAAGAAAACCTGGGCAAACATCCTATCTGCATACTTAAGTCACTTTACCTTTCTGAGTCTCAGTTTTATCATCTATGCTACAGTGACAGAAATAACAGTGGCATCTACCTCACAGCAATAATTCCAAAGAGCAAATAATAAAATTTACCTGAAAGCAGCCAGTCAGCAATACGGTGTTTTATAACTATAATATTATTACCAAGATCATTCTTGGGGAGCAAAAACAACAACAAATATATTAATACCAGAGTCAAAATTGGGGTAAAAACTCAGAGGTCTTTAAATTCATAATAGATTATTTCACTTCCGCAGATGCATTATCTCCTGCTCTAATGAGGCCCTAAATTCAGGATTCACCATGAGAAAGGCAAAAGAACACATCAGCTGGGGACTAGGAGGCCTGAGTTCCAACTTAGACTGTGCTACTAACCTTTTGGGCAAATCATTTTTGTTTCTGGACTTCAGTGTTCGATTAGACCTTGCAGAGTGTAGCCTGAGGTCCATAGATGGTCTGCTAATCACTCCAAAATTGTAATCCTTTGTATGGTTCTTAGCAAAAGATCACAAATCCATAGACTTTCATTTTCTCATATGACTACAGACTAGCTAGCATCTCAGTGATTTAGAAAAGGCTATTAAAATTACAAACTAAAAATAGTTATCTTAGAGTTTACTGCAGACTCTAATTCAGTATTCTATTAAAATATCTGGCTGTTGCTTAATGCTTGGCAGCATTGCAAAACTCCTACTCTGTGTATCCATTTAATTGCAATTTCAGCAATTTTGGAAATAGTACTTTGTTATCAATGAATCATTAGTTTTGTCTTGGTTTAAATCCAGTTTTCAATTGCTGCTATACTTGCTTTTTAATTACAAATTACTAATCATTCAGATTCATCATTATCAAGTTAGTTTGTTATGGATTATTTGGTTGATTGTGAACAGAATGCAGTGATATATATTTCTATCAAGACAGTTTGGGGCCTCTCATTTTTTGATATCTAGACATGGTTGCATTGGATTTTAAAAATAAATTATCTCTTCCTGTAATATGAAAGCAGGCAGACCCTTCCCCTCCAACATGCCCCAACTTTGCCTATATAGTGACACTTATCACTGTGTTACTGAGTATCACCGAGTTAGCCACAGGCAGAGTAGGATGACCAGCTCAACTGATGGTGAACAAAGATGCAGTATACAAAATGACCTTGAAATTCATTTTCATATGGAAAAAAACTGGTTCTATTTTCTATCTCATGCAAAATATACCATTTGTACGAGTGTATGTTTGTGTGAACCTGTGTTTTTATCTGTGTTTTCCTAATAAATTACCAAGAAAACTTGGTTATTTCTTGTTACTCACTTTGCCATCCAGGAATCTGCTATTGTTTGCTCCTGTTAGAAGTTTCTGGTTGTTCTCTGGTTTCTGAATGTTCTCTGGGTGCTTCCTCTCTTCCCCACCATCTGGGTTATAATTGGTTTGCTCATCAGTGAGGTTAGTAGGAGCTGGGAGGCTTGCATTACCAGTCAGGGGTTTCTGGAGCACTGTTTGAGTTTCTGTTTTCATGTTCTCATCTTCCTTGCTGTGAAGAAACAGTTTTGCACTTTGTTACTCACAAGCAGCCTCCTCATGCACTAGGCTGGCATAAGAATGGAAGGTGTTAGTTTGGTGGTGTGAACAGTGGTAACTCAATATGGTGGAATGTAGAGGAAAACATTGGTTATTTGTCTGTGGATCATTCTACCATGGAAAGACCATGTTATTATCTTCTCAGGCTTTGTCTTTTCCCTTGCCCTCTTCCTCATACTTACAAAGATAATCTATCCTTCTGCTCCAAAACCCTTACTGTAAGTAATGAACAGTGTGAAAAATGAACCCTAGAGCTTCCCTAGCCAAGGACTTACGACATGGGCACTTTTATGTAAATATAAATATATCATATTTCTATAAAGTGTTAAATTGGTATAAAATTTAAATAAATACTAGGAAGCATACCTAGTCAGTATACAAATAAATGCTAAATGAATGTCACAAAGAATAAGTACTATTTGGAGTTCATAAAAAGAGAAATAACTATGGTCTGCAATGGTTACAAAAATAATAGTATTGCTGAACATTTAACTACATGACAGCCACACAATATTTATTTACATATGTTAGTTTATTTATTTCTCAAATCAATACTATAAGCAGGTGCTCATCTTATTCTCATTTTAGGATGAAGAAAATAAAGTTTGGAAAGTTTATGTGATTTTCCCAATTCTACATGGCTTTTCATTATTGGAGCCAGGATTTAAATCTAAGTCTACTTGATTGCACAAACTCAGATCCTATTGCCAGTAAAGTTAATGGCAGGTCCATGGAAGTTTGGGATTATGTGAGGGACAGAAAGTAGAGGAGCAGGCAACCGAAGTAGGAAAAGTAGGTTGTGAAAGCAAAAAAATGGTCGTGGGTCAGAGATAACTCTTCTGAATGAAGGCATGGGTGATATATTATCATTGCTTTAATCACCTTCAAAATCGTTTCGCGGGCAGTCTCAGGACAGAATTGCTCAAGAAATGTGAAATGTATCTGCCTGTCTTCTAAAACAGCCACAGTAGATGTAAAACCAAAAATAACTGTTAAATCTGTTTCAAGTAAAAGCTGTTTTTTTTTTCCAAAAAAATACATAGCACTTTAAAAATTATCATGAAAACGACTCTCCAGCTGAGAAACGATATGTGTCTATGGTTAGCACAAACAATTACTCGTCAACACGCATTGGTCGTTATGCTGTTCACAAACTCACAGTTCTTTCTTCTAGGCTTGTCTGCTATCTACCTACATTACTGAAAATAGAAATTTGCCATTTCAAAGCAAGAAAAAAAAAATGCCATCAATACTGTCTTGGAAGCAAGACACAGCTAGCTTCTGCATATGTACTTCTGACCTCAGCTGCTGCTCCTGGGGTGCCATGAAGAGTTTAGTGTCATCCAGGAAGGAGAGCAATTAAGGAGGATTACTGTGTTGCTGGATGATAAATAAATGAGGAGAAAACTGTCCAATTGTTCCCTCTCTCACAGTGGGCTCTTCCTGCAAACCAGCCCTTTAGAAACAGCCTCCACTAGAGCTCAGTGTCTCAGGGTTATAAAGAAACACTGCAAGGGTGTCTGGTAGCATCCTCTGCCCAAAGCAATGTAGGGATCCCCAATGGCCCCACCTCCATGTAACTCCAGCTCACCAGATCTCACATTTGATTTGGATTACACCCCTGCTGAGAACATAAAATCTCAAATGGAGGACCCAGGGGGCTCAGCAAAAGGTCACCAGATGCCATCTTAAAGGTCTGCCAGCCTTGGCAGAGACTCAATGCCACCAATTTCCAACTGTGCCCCATCGAACAGGCCCTAAACCCTCTGGAGAAGACAGTCCAGAGTGTGCCAACACAGTGAATGGGGATCTAATTTCAGTAAATGAAAGCATGTTCTTATTTGGGAGTAATAAGAGATAATCAAGACAACCAGACTTTTCTCTTTTTAAAAAGACAATAAAAAATAAAATAGTAAAGGGGAGGGGAGTACAGTTGAAAATCTCACCAAACTCCACAGGGAAGCTGAAATGTGAAGCCTGTGCTAATGTAGCAAATGTTGTTGTGTTGAAGTGGGAAGGTTTTTTTTTTTTTTTTTTTTTCCTTTTTCTCTTTTTTTATGCCATGGAGCCATAACATGCATTATTATCATAGAAATTTCATCTTCAAAAAGATCTTAAAAGTACTTTCATTCAACTCCCAAACCTATGCCCAAATCATTTCTTCATCATTATAATGATACTAGCTAATATGTTCTAAATGCTTATATGTGTCAGCCACCACACATATATTCATATAAATTCTTCCATGTTGCGTGACTTTGGGCAAGTTACTTCATATCTCTGATTTTCAAGTTCTCATTTGTGAGATGAGAAATATAATCCTTATCAAGATAAGATGCATAAAATATTGAGCACCGAGCTGGTGCTCAATCAGTCCTTGACAAATGATAATTTTATGTTAGTCGTAAGTTAAAGTGTCAGCTCCTTTATAAACTCCCTCACCACCCAGCTGCAAAGGGATGCTCTTTCCTCTGGACTCCAAAATTTTCTTTATTGATAGGCAAAACTAAAGTTCAAAAGGTCAAGGTTTTGTAGAATGTAGGAACTCAGGGAAATCTATTTAAATAGATAAAAAGAGAGATAATTAATATCATCTATTTACCAATCACAATAAATTCAAGTTCTATAAATTACCTATTTTAAAAAATCAAATATTAATTAGTATTAAAAATCTGTTCTGATAAAGCAGGATTCTTCTGAATCACATTTCTTAATTTTAGGGGAAATGAAACCTCAAACACTGTTGCATCATGATGTCCTCAGATAGATTATTCCCAGGGGCTTTACAGACTGTGCAGCTTCTAAATCTTGGAGCCAACCTTTATCAGCATGAAATTTAATGTCTTTTGCACTTGCATTCTCTCCTGTTTTGCTTTTGCAAGTCTAAGCAAAATGATTGTGTAACGGTCTGGCCTCTTCACCAATTACCTCTGTGCTGTAGGGCACAGTTTCTGAGCCAGGTCTTCTATCTGTACTCTGAGAGGATGCAGCACAAACAGTTCTCTCTCTTTACCATCCCCCTGGATGCATCCACACAGTCTACGAGAATGGGAGGCAATAATTATTGCTATGTTATTTTGTTTCATTGGGTTGAGCTAAATCAGGGAGATGTAAAGAGATCATGGATTTTAGAAAGTGTACTCCACAAATATAAATCTGTGTTATCTCAAAATTTTAACTGGTTAAACTAAATGTGGCCAGGTATTATATTATCTCTTTACATAAAGTTGCCATATACATACACATGAACTTTTGTTTTTTTCTTTTAAAACACAAGTAGATTATACAGCTTTGTAATCTTTAACAAAATTTTCCAGTTAACAATGTAATGTGGATACATTTACTGGTCAACACTTGTGACTCTGCAACAGTATTTTAAATGTTTAAATAATATTTCTTATACAGATATACAAGAGTGAATTTAACTTGTCCTATATTGTTGAATGGTAACTTGGTTTCCAAATTTTTATCAATCTAAATATTTCTGCTTTGCTGGAGATGTTCTTTCTGCCCCTTGATTCTCACTACCCTTCTCCACCCCAGGGAGCTGGCCTGGGTGGACGCTATCAACAGCTCCCACGTCCTCCGGTTCTGGTTGGTTTTGAACAATGTGCAGCTTCGGCAGGAGGTGGTTGCCTCCCTGCAAGGTTGACTTAGGCTACTTGTGTCTCTTGACCAAAGGTCGGTACTTTTCTCAAGATGGCCTGAGTTACAGGAAGCTAAATGCTTCCTGCATTAAGTTTCAGTAATATTCTCTTCTTCTCCTCCCTTCAGATCTAGTGCTTGTACCAACCTTGCAGCTGCTAGCCCAGGAGGCCTGCACTGTATCATGCAGTTCTCTTCATCTCAGCCTGCATCTTTGTAATTAGTCCCTTTGTAGCTAAATCTTCCTCGAATCATCCTAATTTGAGTGTGTAATCTGTTTCCTCCTGGGACCCAGACTTATACTTTCTTATGTAAATCTTGAAACTAAACCATTACACCCACCCATAATTGTTTTCACAGAATTGATACATGGATACAGATTTTATGCCAAAGTACATACATTTTTAAGGCTTTTGATGACTATACTTTAAATTAACCAATAGCACATCAGTATTATTTTTCTCTAAACCCTTGTCGACCCTGGGGATTACCATTATAAAAACATTGCTAATTTGCTTTGTAAATAATATCTCATTGCTGTTTAAATTTCTTTTATTATCATTATCATGTGAGTTGAATTTTTTCTCCACATATGTATTGTTCATTTTAATTTCTTCTTTTGTGAATTGCTTGTCTAGGTCTATTGCCAATTATTGAGATTGGGCTGCTCATCTTTTTCCCGTTGATTTGTAAGAGCTCTTTATATAGCAAGAGGGTTAAATTTTTTGCTGTCATATTTATTATAGTATTTTGTTTTTGACTTTGACTTTTTATTATATTTTTTGAAATATAGAATTTCAAGTGGTAAAATAACAACCATTACATCGAAGTTTCAATATTTGGGATCAATGGGCACCTATTTTCCAAAACATTTATTTGACATTCAGTCACATAATGCCATGTACTCTTACTTAAAGAGTCATGCCTATGTCTTATGCTACAGTACATCATGCTTCTTTATACTTCTCACAGTGCCTAGAATAAACACATAAAAACAAAAATAAAAAACAAACAAAAAGCAAGCAAACAAAAACCATTGTAAGAGATTAATAAAGAAGCAATTTCATTCAGCGGAAAGGGCTTACGAGAAGTATAATTTTAACATATTACTTCATTTTGAACTTGTGAAAATGGAGTTAATAGTGTCTTCTGTGATATTATTTAAGGAGAGAGTGAATTCATGGATATTAAGTTATTTACATAGATTATATAGTGGGAAAAGCAATAAACAAAGATAAGGTTTTTTTTAATCCATTGTTTCTAAAAAATATGTAGAGTACTTGAATTTTTAAATCACACAATTTATCC